CCATTTTCTGCCACATTTAAACACTCGTGTTTCTTTACAGTATCAGTTTATAGGATTTTTAATGCTTTTATGCATCTCAGGCTGATAAGCTCCTCTCCCCAGAGTTCCAGCCTTCAGTAGAGCAGTTGATTCATTTCCTGCCTACCAATCGTCAAATCTTGATGTTTCAGCCACTTTTCCTGTCACCATTAAGGACTTTAAAGATAGATATCTTCAAAAGCCTTACGTTATTAACCTTATGGACGAGTTGACTTTGAAAGGGATCACACAATTTTATGCATTTGTGGAGGAGAGACAGAAACTCCACTGCTTGAACACTCTCTTCTCGAAGGTTGGATTCATCTTTATCATGACACTTGTTATTACTTTTTCAGCTATGAATATAATGATGATATTGTCTTTTATTGCAGCTGCAAATAAACCAGTCAATTATTTTCTGCAATTCAGTGAACCGAGTTGAGCTCCTTGCCAAGAAAATTACAGAACTTGGGTATTCATGCTTCTATATTCATGCAAAGATGTTGCAGGATCATCGCAATAGAGTATTTCATGATTTCCGCAATGGTGCATGTAGGAATCTTGTTTGTACTGGTATGTTGCTGGAATTTATGTATTTCCTCTTCCTCTTGTACACGCATAGATGTGAATATGCTTCACAAGTTCTTTTGGAGTTGGTTGTAACGATAGTAACAATCAGGTAGTTTAAGCAAGTTCTGTAATATACTGGGTGGACTAAGATCTATAATCATAAAAAATAAAAATGGCATCCACTCGTCATTGGGTGGACTTGGATCTGTTATTGTAAAAAAAAAAAATGGTATCCATTCATCAATCATCTAGTGGGCATGATGTCCGTTATGTGTATTTTAATGTTATTCATAATCAGCATATTCTAAATCATGCCATTTAATTCTTCGTTTTCAAACTAAATTTGGAAAGAGATCTGCCAAATAATTGCTTTCTTGTTCAAATGGCCATATCTAGTAATTTTTCCACTTAATCATTATTTTTCATGTTGATGACTTTTTAGTCTGAGAAAAAGAAGTCGCTATCTAGTTTGGAAAATATGTTACAGAAATAAATACATGAATGTGTTCAGTAAATAATGTAAAACCTTATAGTACATATATCTGGAAATCTCAGCTGACAGATTGGGGAGAATGGGGTAGAGGGAGAAGCAATTTGAATTTTATTGGAGAAGTTAAAGACGATTATGGAGATTGGGATGATTATGGCCCTTTTAAAGGTAATGGGGTCAAAATTTCTGGTATTTGTGAAAGATGGCATTACATAAACCTGAAATAAAAGGGTAATGATGTATGGCCGTGCAGTCATTTCCAGCAGAGATTTGTTCCCCATCAATTGCTCCTGCATCATTTATGTTATGAGAAAAAGATATGCATACTTTTGACAGATTCACTGGATGGACACCCACTAACTTCACATTAGAAAGATATAACCTCTCTAATGTGCTCCTTTAGTCCATTTTCTCTTTCAATTGAGTATGTTTGAGCTAAGAGGTGGATGAAGTGCGTGGGTCGTGGGTTGTATGACTAGTTTACCTATGAAATGGTTTCTGGCCATCCTTGTCTCCTTTTAAGCGAGTATTTTGATCAAGTGATGATATTTTGGTTATATGCCAATCCTTTTTTAAAATGTTTGTGATGATTTGCTTTATTTACTTATTTATTTTGTTTCAATGTATGCCTTGAATTAGCACGTGCTTCATTGGTCCTGTGGTTGGATTTTTGTGATATGTAGCCCTAATATTTTTATGCTCCTATTTTCACTGGAAACAATGACAGATCTTTTTACTAGAGGAATAGACATTCAAGCTGTCAATGTTGTCATTAATTTTGATTTTCCAAAGAACTCAGAAACTTACCTGCACAGGGTATGTTTGATGTCTGTCCTCTACCCTGCCTACAACGTGTTTCCCTTGACGCCAACTCACAGTCCAAGCATTCTTATACATGTTATGCTTTCATGCAGGTTGGTCGATCAGGGAGGTTTGGTCACCTTGGTTTAGCTGTGAACTTGATTACTTATGAAGACCGCTTTAATTTGTATGTGATTTTGTGGTCCAAAAGGAAAAAAGTTCTGTTTGTAATTTGATATTTATGTGAGTTCAAAATACTTGGTTTAGCTTTATAATGTGTTTTCCATCTTTCTTCAGATATAGGATTGAACAAGAACTTGGCACTGAAATAAAGCAAATCCCACCTCACATTGATCAGGCAATTTATTGCCGGTGATTAGTGGTAAATTGCCGGGTTGCATTTGCATTTGTGGTGAGTGGCAATGGTGAGTGTCTGAGTTATGGGAACTGTTTTTTCTTCTGCATTTCTTGTGCGCAATTTGATTCTTGGTTGCTCAGGGTTTGAGTGGAAGGTGTGCAATTGAACCTGTTTTTTTTCATTTGTTCAACGTTGGTTGTTTACAACAACAACAATAATTTGAAGTCTTATCCCACTAATGTTGTTTGTTTAACTTTGGTTGTTTAGAATAATCAAAATGTTCTCATGAAAGATTTTGGTTTGTTGTGCTCTTTTTTCAATTAGATCCATATTTGGCGAAGGATAAATATTTATTTGACTGCTGTTCATTTATTTATTTTTATATCTTAGAACCTTTGTCAGGACTTATTATAGTGAAGAATACCGAGGAGCCTACGTGAAATGGCTTAGCTGGTTGTGTTTCATGGTTAATTCAGTCTTGAGATGAATTCTTTTTTTTTTTCTTAGGTTGTAGCTGATGCAATAATTTAATTCAATTTTGTGGCCACTATGAAGCTAGATTTATTGTGACAGACTGATGTGTATGTATCGCTTTGTTTCAGGGGAATGTGGCTGTTCTCAATGAAGCAGCTGCGTTTGTAGTTTAGCGTGAGAGGAGATCCAATATGATGATTTGGTTATTGTGGGGACGCTGTGGAATGATGCTTTATGGTTAATTTATGGTTGAGAGCCCCGAAACACCACTGGGACCCTCAGAAGTGGGGTGTTGAATTTTGATTGGCATGGCAGGATTGAAAGATGGGGGGGGGGGTCTATTGCATTTGTGGCTGTGTTTGCTGCTAACTTTTGTTTCTGTAGTCGTGATTTGTTATTGGATCTGTTTAGGGATGTGCCTTATCTCACTCGCATCCCATTAAGGGAGTGTTTGGATAAAAACAAAACCATGGTTTCAGAAGTGTTTTTATGGATTACGAAGTAAATATGTAGAGGAGGTTACCTCGTTTTGCGGAAAAGTGTTTCTGAAACCACGGTTTGGAGCACCCAAACAGAGCCTAATTAAAGTCTAACAATCCTCGTTTTTCTCCGTTCTGTAAATGCCACTCTGGTGTGTTATTTGTCGGGACGAGTTTTGGTTTTTTGTTTTTTAATTTGTCACTTGTGTCCTTTTCAATGTTTCATTTTCAGTTGTACCCCTCTTAATTACTACTTCAGTTCTTTTAATTGTCACTTGCAGAAGAGGATTTTGATCCTTTTTATTTGTCACTTATACTTTTTTTAATACTTCATTTTTAATTCTGCTCCTATTACTTAAGAGATACAGATATAAAGGTGAAGAGAGCGGAAATAGGTGAGAAAAAATATACTACTCCTCTGGTCTTAATATAAGACTCAATTATTGAGTTGGTTTTGATCCTAAATATAAGATCTATTTATCATATTTATCAATTTTCTTCAAATTACCCATATGGATACTCTCTCAACTATAATCAAATAGAAGTGATGATTATGGTGTTTTAGGAAAAACGTGTCACATTTTTTATAATTAATTAACTTTTTTAATTTAATCAAATTAGTTAAATGTGTCTTATATTAAGGACCGGAATGTTTAATAGGGTAAAAATGAAAGATTTTGTGTTGCATGCTTTTCTTAGTAAGTGGGAAATTACTATACGTGTCAATTAAAAAAAAGACCAAAGTGGTATGGTAAAGGTGAAGAGAGAGAAAATAGGTGAGAGAAAATATATTATTATTTAATGTTCTTTTTAATAAGGCCAAATGTTTAAAATTTTACTTATTTAATGCTTTGTGAGAAATTTCTTCAAGTGACAATTAAATCCTTTGCTTCGATGTTGTTCCTTATTCCTTGTTTTATTTTCAAAACTAGTGTTTCATAATTACTTTCTTTAACTGATCTTTAACTACTGCTTCAACATGTGACACGTTAATTAACTGAATTAATTAATGTGCAGCAAATACTATTGGTTGTGAAAAGGATGATCAAATTGGAAAGTATATGGGCAAACAAAAGAGAGAGTAATTAATTCAGGGCAAGCAAATTTTACAATTATTCAGAGGATGTAATTCTTTTGAAATTTGAATCAAATTTTAGAGTAAACTAATTGTATCAGTTTGAATAACCACATTATGAAAGGAGACGATAAGAAAAACAGAACACGCTGACACTGTTGAGCCGCTCGTCCTCACGTGGGAAACGCTCTTGCTTGCCTGCCTTCCCATAAATCATTCATGGCGTCTTTACTGAAATTAAGGTGAGGTTTTGAACTTATTACTCTTGTCTAAAATTCATAGAGTTTTTAGCTTTATCCTTATTAACTCATTTTATCTGAAGTTAAAAGGGCTACTTTCGGAAAACATAAATCGATATCAAATGAAGACAATATAAAAATGTAACAAGTACTGCATTTCATATGGTGCTTTCTCCCGTATTCTATGAAAAGGACAAGTATACTGGCATACATGACAACAAAAAATGGTTAGTTAATTTGAGTTTAACTAGATTTTTTCCCCAAAATTATCATTTTTATAAAATTAACTTGCGTAAAAATGCCATCTGACACTTGTTCCCCCCCCAAAAAAAACATTTTGTTCTTTTTAAAACTAATTCTTTAAATGATACTCTTCATATCTTATTTATAAAGCATTTCTAATATATTTTACACAAATAAAGAAAAATCTTAAAATGCACTTTACCCCTATTTAATATATACACCTTTAAAAAAAAGATAATTACCTATGTAATAATAAATAAAGGACAAAATAGTATATTTACGTTAAAAGTTTAATAAAATGACTTATAAATAAGATAAAAAATATTCTTTTTTTTTGTTTTATAAATAGGACCAAAGGAGTATGGTAGAGAAATGGGAAAACGAATAGGATAATAAATACTCCTCTGGTTTTATTTATAAGATAGAGATAAAAGATTTTTTTGGTCATATTTATAAGATATTGAGAGAAATTTTTTGTATGGGTGTACAATTTTGCCATTTATTTATTATTGTGTTGATTTTATTTACATGAGTTATAATATATATTAAATAAAGATAAAGTTAAAAAATTATTAAATTTTAAATGAAAGTTAAGTAAGTTTAAGGTTTTTTTTAATCTATATAAAACATACTGAAAGTGTCTTGTAAAGAGGAAAAGGAGAGTAGCTTGGGACGTATAAATGTTAGCTTATAAATAATAAATTTAAAAAATAAAAGGCCGGGGAGTGGGGGTGGAGGGATAAAAGACAAATGGATTATTGTCGGGGAAGGAAACCAGAGGCAGCAAAAGAAATAGTGACGGATGGTTTGACCGCATTTATAGGCAGCACATGACCCTCAGCTTTGACCATTCCTCACTCTCTTTCTTTTTCCCTTTCTCATCTCAAAATCACACTTCAAAAAATATATTCTTCTTCGGCTACTTAATTTACATTAATTAAAAATATTTAATAAAGTATTACGAAAGGAAAAAGAATTAAACTTTTATATTTGAAACTAAACTAACTTCTTAACTAATTTTTATATTTAAAGAATTAAAACTCAACTTAAAAGTTGAGAGATTAAGATCTGAGAACAAGTTCAGAGAATAAAAATTGTATGAAGCTGCAAAATTAATTACTCCTTCCTTATTACTAGTGAAAAGATTGTTTTAATTGTGAGATCAAAAAGGTTGAAGACGCATTAACTTTATTTGAAGATTAATTTTTTTAAAAAAATTTACTCACTAATTTCATGGAGAAGAAGTAAGGAGGAGTCACGTCCCAAAACATAAAAAAATGGCCAAAAAAAAACCTATTAGATTTTAAAAAGATAAATAGATTATACTGTCTAATTCTATAATAGTTTTGACAAGTCTGTCAAAATTACTTATTTATTATTTTAAAATTTAATAGGTATTTTTTAAATATTTTTTCAACCATAAAACCATAAAAGGGTCTTAAGCAATTATGAAAACCACGTGACAAATTTTTCCCCTAATATCTTATTTGGTAAACTGTGGTTAAAAAATTATTTCCAAGACCCGTGCTATCCAATAATACATTTGGGTTTTCTCATACAATCTCTCTTTTTTTTAAAAATTATTATTCCCTCTCATTTAATCACTTATTATTAATTGCTTATTAAAAATGTATTTTATACGTAATCATTATTTTAACTAATTTGTTTTCTTAAACTCTGATTTAGACATGATAAGAAGGTTGAGTGGAGGTAATAAAAGGAGGACATTGCATGAGAGTGTCCGTACCCTGCGACTGCATTAATATGATCGACGCCATTAATGATCTTCTTCTTTCCTTATCTGTGGGCGTGTTACTGTTGCTGCTTTTTTATCCTTCAGAGAATCCGCCATTAATGCCCTTTTCTCTTCTGAGAGATGAGCCTTTAATGCTGTCGCCATCACCAGCACTCTCCCTTCTTTCACTGTTGTGTGCTTCTCTCTATCTCTCTCTCTCTCACTGTTGAGCATTTATTGCTCATCCCAGCTGCAAACTTGCTGAAGAAACCTCCTTTCCTCACATCAATTATTTCTCCTTCCGCTCCGTCTTCGTCTCGCGCCCATCTCATATCCGTCGCCTCCATAATTACAGATTGAAAATTCATTTGTTTCTGTTTTTAAAATCATCTTCAATATGTGTATCAACGTCACCAATTCGTTCAGAAATGGTGTGGGTAAGATTTTCTACCATCACAAGTATTTATTACATATTTTGCTGCATGTATTTAATTTGTGGTAAAATCCTTTATCTAAAATAACCTTAAAAATCAGTAAAAGGTCTTGTCAACTTGTCCGACATTTAAATCGTTCTTTTGTCGTCTACAGATGCAACGATATTTATTGACTCCAAAATTTTCTCAGACCCATCCATCTGCCTGCAGGCTTCTCCATGATCGTACCATTTCCCAACATTTAAACCCTTCTCGCCCTCTCTCTCTCTCTCTCGCGTACGCACTTGGCCCTTTTACCTCTCTCTCCCCGCAAGTTTCCCCTGAGCTCATTTAATTCTTGAGCCCCAGCAAGTAGAATCTGGAGCCTCTTGATAGTCGATCAACGATGGGAAGAACACCCTGCTGCGACAAGAGGGGTTTGAAGAAAGGGCCCTGGACGACTGAAGAGGATGAGCTTCTTGTTGACTACATCAAGAAGAATGGTGGCCATGGAAGCTGGCGTTCTCTCCCTAAGTTGGCAGGTATTCATCTGTCTTGTTGTCCCTTCCGGCTTCTCCTATTCCTTGACTCCGAACAAACATGCTTTGGGTGGTAAAAGCCTTCGGTTTTAGATTTTCTGACTGTCAGTTAAACAGTGATGCTTGTTTCAAATGATTCTTAGCTTTGACAAGGCAAGAAACTACTTTGAAGTAGGAGTTCAACTTTTTGGGGTATGATGTTTTCGTGCTTGTATATAATTAATACAACCTTTATATCTCATTTATGGTCTTTTCTTGGTACGATCTGCACTTATTATCAGTTCGAATCCTGAGAACTCGATGCCTCCATTTTGATTTGGGAAGCACTGAATCTAAGACCATAAGTAGCAAGTAGTACTGAAAATGAAAAGGCTGTGATTGAATTGTTATAAAGGTTGTATGTGGTGCGCAGGTCTGCTTCGCTGTGGGAAGAGTTGCAGGCTAAGGTGGACGAACTATCTAAGGCCTGATATAAAACGTGGTCCGTTCAGTGTTGAGGAAGAGAAGCTTGTAATACAGCTTCACGGCATCCTTGGTAATAGGTACTACTTAATTTCCTGATACAATCATGCTGGTGTTATAACCAGCTAATGCGCGGTTTTAGATGAGACAGAGCTAGAAATGTTGTTTACGGCAAAAGAAAACTGGGAAATTGTGTTTACAATTTATAAATGAAAAATGATTTTATTACTTGACTACGTGTAGCTAGAAATTTTGAAATGAATGAACCAGCTGGAATTGAACTTGCCATAGCGAAGTTGTTTTGCAGAAAACTTGGTCTAATCATATCTAATTTGTTATTATTTTTAAAGTAGGAAATGATCAGTACATCTCCATCATTAACATGATGTCGTTTATGATGATCAATACTCAAGCTTCAAATTGTCTGTTTATTTTTTGTAATAATATTTTTGAAATAAGAACATGAGGATTATTTTTATGGTCAAAGATATTTTGTTTCTCCTCTCTGTTTAAAAATAAGGTAGCTATGTATGAAATGCTGTCTCTATTCCGAAAGTAACTAATGCCACTCTTGAGATATTATAGCCTTATAGGTTTACATGAAAGAAATTGCTCCTCCGGTCCTATATATAAAGTTCTTGTATTTAGGACCGGAAAAGTAGTATTAATCAAGTAGAAGCAGCCGTAGAATAACACGTAAAGACCTGATCTTGTGATACAGAAGCTGTTCAAATTAATACAGATTGAGATTGATTAAATAAAGAGATTATGGACAATGTTTGCAGGTGGGCGGCGATAGCGTCCCAGCTACCGGGAAGAACAGACAATGAGATAAAGAATCTGTGGAACACGCACTTGAAGAAGCGACTCTTGTGCATGGGTCTCGACCCTCTCACCCACAAGCCTCTTTCTTCTTCGTCTCCTCCTCCTCCTGATCCCAACAAGCCCGACGCCTCCGTCTCCACTCGCCACATGGCTCAGTGGGAGAGTGCCCGGCTCGAGGCGGAGGCTCGCCTCTCCAAGGAGACCTCTCTCTTCGCCAAACCCCCTGCCGACTCCGACTTCTTCCTCCGTCTCTGGAACTCCGAAGTGGGCGACGCCTTCCGCAACATGCACGCCGTCTCCTCTCCGGGATCGTCGTCTTCCACCAAGTGCACTGCTACCACGGCCTCTCTCTGCACGCAAGCTCCAACAGCAGGTGGTCTCATGGCCGCGTCTGACGACTCTTCCATCTCTAATGACTTGGAAGACTCCTCGGACACAGCGTTGCAGCTCTTGTTGGACTTTCCCATTTACAATGACATGAACTTCTTAGAAGCTAACTCTTTCATTTCTCCTCTTTAAGCAACTGCTACTGGTACATGGCTATCACGTTTGTTGTAATCCGCTTATATGCGCATTTTGGTTCAAGTATCTTGTACTATTTCTGTGAAAGGCATACATATATGTGTGTCAGGAGATCTTGTAGGATGATGGTTGCTGAATTTTGGTTTTCATTAGGCTTAATTATATATACATATGAAATACGTGTTACGTGTATCTGAAATGTTAATCTGCTTTGCTCAATTTCCTCCTATTTTTCACTCGTTTGTGAATTTGCGATCCACAATTCATGAATAAATGTTATCGTGCACCCGTTAAGGCCTTGGGCTGATGTATGAGTGCAAGGTAATAAAACCAAGCTTCTCTTGTAAATGGTGGCTACTCCTAATTAGCCATTTGCTATTGAAATTACAAATTTTGTACGTAAATTTTGGTGTAGAAAAATTTCATATTGATGGATGGATGGATGGATAGAGAGAGAGTGAGTTTAGCTAGGTTAGATTATGCCATGGGTACGAGTTCCCTGTGAGTTGAAAAAAATAACAGGAACAAGAATGAAAATCGTCTGGAGATGTTAACCCGTAGTGATATAATAGTACTGGGTCCCCCGCAAATTATAGAGCCCTTGCTGTGAAAGTTCCAAAATGGTAACCTGGAACAACCTGTGCTCTGTAAAGTTTAGAGACTTGAGTGCAAACTTTAAAGAAGTACTCGTGTAACCTGTAATGGCCTCATCATGTGTTCGGTTAACTATATATCACTAGGTTTAACCACGCGGATCATTCTGAAGCAAAACAATTTTCAAAAGGATTAAAAATGAGATCTGCGATACTTGAAAAGCGTATTTGAAAGATTGGAAAACCGTGTCGTCCTTTTAACAGAAGACATCCAAAGCGGATAAAACAGGAGACGAAAAAGACAAGAAAGGCAACCAGGCCATTATCTGATGAGTAGAAGATCCGTGTTGTGTAAAAATCCATCGAAGAACTCTATATGAGGGGGCCCGTCCAAACAAGAAACTCGTCATAGATTTGATTTTGTACTTTTGTTTTTGAGGTTTATTTTTTCTTACACACATAAAACAACTTCAAGAAAAAAGGCCCCAAAAACATATACACAAAATTTAAAATTAATATTCATTACTACAAAATATCAAACCACAGACAAAACCGAAAAGAAAGAAGGAATCAAAAGCATCCAAGGAGTTTCTTTGGAGTGGTTCCGGTTGCGCGGTACTTTGCAGCAAATTCCTCTGCTTTCAGAACTTCTTCGCCTCTCTTGGCTTCAACCACTGCCCTCTTCTCCTCTGCTTCCTTGTGAACTAACGCTATCTTGTTCTTCATTTTCTCCCCATATTCTGCTTTCTTTCTCTCCAGTTCTTCCTGTTCATGCACAATGTCATTTTCAATAAAAAACAAGGTTCTTATGCGCCTGTGTTTTATGGCCGCCCCGCGGGGGAACCAAAATGAAAACATTATTTGATCATGCAAAGGGCTGTGCTTCTCTGGGTGCTCCCATGAATCATACTACCATGTACCATGAAACTTAAAGGCCTACTCTTTCCACTAACAGTTCATCAGTATTTTGCCAACTTCCTGATTCTTTGATGCCATCTCAATGATTAATTGATGGAATATAATATTAATAAGGAATAATTGGAATCTACCCTAGTTCAGGAAGACTTATCGCTAATTTTATAATTATCTTTATTAAGATTTTAATTAGAATTTATATTATCTTTTTAGGTTTAGATTTATGAAATCATTTCTTATTCATTATAATTTCCTGTCTTTATAATTTCTTTTGCTTAAACATTAAGTGAGGTTTAGGTTGTTTAGAGCACTATAAATAGAACAAAAACTATTCTAATAGTATGCCTTCGATTACGAATTAAACAATATTGATATTTGAGTGCTTCCTCCTCCCTCAGTTTCTTCTCTCTCTCACATTTGTCTAGTTTTTCACTCCCTGCTTTTCTACCTCATTGCTATTCTCTCCTCTCCCCTTTTCACCCTGTTGTTCTACATCATTACTTCAATTTAAAAGAAAAAAAAAAAAGCTTTCAAGTGAAAGCTTACTTTAAGCTCTTAAATAATAATGAATCAATGAGCTATAGGGTAAGTATTACCTCAATTTTTTTCAGCTTAGCTTCGATTGCTGCTTTCTTGCTATTTTCCCATGCAGCAACAGTAGAGAGCTTCTTTTGGGCCCTGTTAACATATCATAGTATTTCCTTTTAACGCAGTTACGAAGACAGAGCAAGAGCAAGATTATAGAACAAAACTAGCGAAGAATATGAGAAATCTGCAGAAGGACCATTCCTGACATGTTTGCAGGGAATTTCACACCGGGAGAATCACTATAAGGTCTCAAAAAGAAATATATTCACTAAAAAGTCCTACAACAATTGAGTAGCTTGTAATGACAAGTTCAAGTGTAGGAAATGACAATAAGTTTCGATTGCTCACTTGTCATTAGGACTTTTTAGTAATTATTTTTTTTTTGAGACCTCATTATAATTATCCCTTTCATATTTGCCATTTGAAGAATCAGATTTGAGTCTTGTTAGACAGTAGCAAAATAAACAAGTATTGGCATTTCTGTTTCAGCTTCTAGATCAAAGAGAAAATAGGTTCATATCAAACACAGCACAAGAGAACTGAAGAAAGTCTTACTTGTTCTCTGCTTTGGTTTTCTCACTTTCTTCCCATGCCTTGATGTAGGACAACCTTTTCTCTTTCCCCACTTCTGCCAGAGCAATATCTGTACAACATATAGAAAGTACATAAGCTTCTTGCTAAAGAAAATATATGCGTACCACTGAGAACGACAAGCAAACAAATAACTTTAACTCTTTAAGCAGGATATTTAGAATGAAGCATTATACACGCATTTTATAGGTCATTGCTAATAGTTCATCAAAATAACGTCATATGAAAGTTTTTTCCCCCCAAAAGAGTCTATGATCAGCTAATCTATTATAAATTATGTCAAATGCTATGTTTTCATTGAATAACCTGATAACAGAAGGCTTTGAAAATTGCAGGTAAGTTATAGTCCGATTAAAAGGAGGTTTCAAATGTAAGTTAGCACTATGACGAAGGGAGAGATAAGTATATGTGATACAAAAATCCATGTATGAGTTTGCTTTGGGCCCAGAGACTAGAAAACGTAGAAACTACACTACATGGCTTTCAAATTAATTCGTTCAAGAAGTCACATTTTTTCCCTTTTGTCAAAGAAGTTCCCACAGTATGTGGAAAAACTGCATGATCATGAGTTGGAATATTAACAAGGATCAATCCCAGAAAGTAAAAGACAATGTAATAAACTGAAAAACTAAAAAAGTTAAAAGCTAACCCCTGTCAATGGATCCTCCTTGCTTCTTTTCAGGTTCTGGGGCCTCTGTGTGTAAAATGCATCGAAGAGAGAAGCATGAATATGATATTACATCTCAAATAAGAACTCTTACAAGTTAAATTATAGCTGTCCTTTACAAGTCCAACCAAATAAAGTGTAACAATTCAGCAAAGACAGGAAAGAAAACAGTATTTTTATGGAAAGATGATGAAATGTAGTTGTTTAATCCCTAGAATTTTTTTTTTTCCCATTATGTTTCACTGCGCTTTTTTTTTTTTTATAACTATCTGGGATATAATCCAATAAATCTAGTAAGCATTCAAATAATGAATGAATTGGCCGTATCAAAATTATATTATACATCACAAACTAGAGAGTGGAGACTAGATTTAAATTGGAAAACTTAAATAAGCAAAAAAAAAAAAAAATCCAGAGCCCATAACCATTATATTTAAATTGGAAAACTTAAATCAATTAACCATGAAATAACTAACATGCCCTCATATTTAATACATCAGTTAAAAAGAAATAAAATAATGTGGAATATCGAAGAATACTCTAGCTGTGATATAGGCACAGCTGCCAATATGAGGAGGAAAGAAGCGCACAAGGAAATAAAATAATCTTAAAGAACAAGGCAAATATAGAATCGAATAATTAAGATGAGCACAATCCAGTTGGCAATGAATTGAAGACATAATCAGCCAACCAAAGAAAAAGTTTAGAACTTTTCCCGCAAATTAAAGCAGCATTAGACAGAGTGGAAAAGGAACTCCTCAACATGGGGAACAAAATTAATTTTTGAGGTCCCATCTTGGGCTTAATGTAAATTTCTTTGTTGGAAAGGAGAAAGATTGCCTCTTTGATTAGAAAGCAGGCCACACTACACAGTAAAAATATTTAGAATATAAATGTAAAAGGATAAAATATGAAGGTCTATAATTGATGGCTATCCAGAAAATGATAATAAGCATACAAATCTAATAGCGATGTGGTACTCAGAACGATGATATATCAGAGCTGTGAAGGTCAGCCTCAGGGGAGATAGGCCAAGCGAGAAAGTGAATAATTGAAATCGATTTAGAAAATGACAAAGTCTCACCGATTCATCCAATCCATAAAATGAAATACGAGAACAAACTTATAAAAAGGCCGTTTTCTTCTTCTTCTTCTTCTTCTTTTTTTTAAAATCTCCGATGAAATAGAGAAGGAAAAGGGGGGGGGGGGAAATCATGGACATGGAGACATATATTTGGAGCAGTGATTGAACCGGGGAGTTGGACTTGTAGGAGTGTTACATGGTTTTTGCTTCTCTTGTCGGAGAAGCAAAAGCAGGATGCTCAACAGCATGAGCATGAGCATGAGCAAAAGAACAGTACACAGTCAAGGATCAAACTAAGTTGGAATTTGACAGGAAGTCATTAATATTGATCCGAGAAAGGAAAATAATGGAAAGTGAGAAGCAACAAGAAAGAAGGAAGCTGGAAAATGATAGAAGAAAACTTACTTTCAACAAGAGCAAGAGCTTGGGTGTCAGGCGGTGGAGGCAGGGGCTTGGTATCAGGGGCGTCGTGGGGCGGCGGAACCTCAGCGAGAGGGGGGTCGAGGGCTTGGAATCGAGGGGAGCGGAGGCAGGGTCGGGCTTAGTTTGGAGGTCGGCCATGGACGCGAAGTGAAGAGAGCAGAGAGAAACAAGGTGGTGTGGAGGAACAGGATGGGGAGTGAGGAGTGGCAACGCTGAGGTGGGGAAGGCGGGGGTGGGCCTCTTATACAGCTAAGCACCTTTATGTTACTCACCCCGTCCTCGTAGCGTTGATTCCGTGTGAGCACTGTGCTTTTGATTTTCCAACTCATTCATATCATATCACAACCCAACGCTCTTTCTTCTCTCTTTTCTATTCATTGATTAAATTTAAAATTGAAACAGTGTCTGTCTACAATTATACTGCCCAAAGGAGGAATTGAATTTCAAACCCTCTGATCTCCACTTATAATTTCATCAATAACGTCTTTATTATTATTTTTTGATAAAGTATAGGTATTCTCTTATTAGAGGTAATCATATTCGAGGCACTATCGGGTACTAAATGTGAACACCTCTCTCAGTAGGGATTCAAATCTTGGTTCGTCATATTATGAAGGACTAACCTTTTCTGCTAAACTCAACTCTCGTTATTATCAATAACGTCTTTATGAAGTGAAGTGAAGTGATTTGCACAGCTGAAAATATGAAGAGCGGTGGAGATGAAATAGGTGTAGGGAGGAAAGGAGGGCGGGATGCAGGGAATGATTCCTGGCGATTGCCGACAGGTAATACTGGTAAATGGTAATGGACGGAGGGGGGTGCCACGTATACGCAAATGAATGAATGAATGAATTTGGCCGCGTGCGAGGGCATCCCAGAAGCAAAACGACGGCGTAGCATGGGAATAAGGTCACGTCGTAACGGTTGCGGCGGGACCACAAATTTTGGGCTAATCTCATCGGCTGCTCAGTCTTTTGAAATAAAAAATCAAAGATGTTTTCGGGAGTAGGTTTATGGAATGGGGTGAGTAAGATGATAAAAATCTGAATTCTGAGAGAGCAAGCGCATCCATATGGATAGAAGAGATTTATAGTGGTCAGAAAGAAAACAGATGGTATTTGGTGTGCAACCAAAAATTGGGCATCTGATTACAGATCGGGAAAATCCTGAAAACCGGCCAGAGAAATCCTTAAACCCTCGTTATTATTAATACACCTGGCGAGGCGACAAAATAACTAAATACAATTTATAAAATATCACATGATCGATTTACAGTTCATATCATGTTTAGCTCAACGCGACAATGATAATTTTTTGGGGGGGGGGGGGGAATCGTAAAAATTTATATTTGGCCTAAGAGGATACCGTGGTAAATCATAGATGTTTCAAAATTTGACACGGAGGCAAGGCAATATTGCTGGCCAAGGTACATGGAGATTAGGGAAATAAAAGAGTGCATATAGAGAAAGCAAAGATGACAGGTAGTATGAGATGGAGGCAGGTGGGATTGACTTAATCTGTGGCCAATAATTATATATATATATATACTACCGGAGGAGTATTATATGGTTTATTGATTATTGATGGGTTGATTAATTGTGAGTTTGGAGGAAGCGCGAGGGTGGTGGAACCAGAAGAGTAAAGCAGAAGTGATGAGATGGCGTTGATGAGTGCTTCTCCGCCAATTCTGCCGCGTGGATGCGGTGTCCGTCTCGCTGCTTTCTCGTGTTTCGGCAACTCTTTATTATTGGTCTAATTGCGATTCCATTCATCCAATTCCAATTAACATATACTTCTCCACTCCAATTTATAAATCACTTTTATCAGATAAAAAAATCTTAAATTATATTAGCTCTTTATTAAAAAATAAAAACTTTCTAACTTTACTTATATTTAATATACACACCTTGAAAAATAACTACTTATATTATAATAAATAAAAAAAATAAAATAGTATATCCATACTAAAAATTTAATAAGAGATTAATAAAAATCTTCTCTCTCTGCTTTATAAACAGAGCTTACGCGTATGAATAAAAGAATGGTATCATACAATGAAACATAATGTGTCAATGTACAAGTTAGTAAATGGAACATTAATTCATGCATAAACCACATATAATTTAACAAAACATATGTATAAAAACATAAATTTGACTGATTGCTATTATTTTAACAAAAAAAAACGATATCATTTGAAACTCAACAAATAAAGCCACAAAAAAAATACAACTCAGTCCATTAATTCAACAATTATTCACAGGGGTAATTACATTCAATGCACTCCTCTCTTTATCTTCTTGTTCCCTCCACGCCATGCACTTGTTATCTTGCTTTTTTGCTCCATCCATCTATCTGTCCCCTCCGCTCCTCTTTTCTCAATATCACATTATTATTTCTTACAAACCGTCATTCATTCCTCTCACTATTATTTATATATATATATATATATTCACATTCATTTTCAATGTTGCCAAGCCATTATCTCACATTTTTATGAATTAATCTCACTATTGCAATATCTTGGACTTAATCATATATATATGAATCACAAATATAGTTTCACTTCTTCCTTCAACTCAACATGCATAAATCTACCTATACATTATGTATATTCACAACGGTAGTATTCTCTATGACTCCTGAATTCTGCTATTTAATTTGTTCCGCATTTTATTGCTCATTTTATTTTGTCATAGCCTTAGAAAAATAAATGACACCTTTCTTAATTTAATAAATAAGACTTGAAATTTTACCCCAAAAAAAAAAGCGTTGAAAACAAACTCCTAATTAACTCACACAAGTATATAATATCTAAGTACTCCCCCTTCTTTATTATAAGATCTAATTTTTTTTTAATAGGTTTGTCCCTTTTTATAAGATCTTCTTTGAGTTTGTCTAAGTATTTAATACAAAATTACTTATTTTACCCCTACTTTAATGCATTCAATACATTTACTTTTTTCATTTATCTCATTATTACTCTTACATTTACCCATTTATATATAAGGATATATTTTCTTAAAAAAATTATGTTGGCTACATATTAATTACTTTTACTAATTTTAACTGTTTTTTTAAACCATGTAATTTAGTTAAAAGTATATTATAATAAGAGATGGAGTAGTACACGATTAGACAACATTTCCACGCCTTGTTTGTGGAAATAATGATAAAAACAGTGCAAAAGTGTGGAGATGCTGTTTAGTTTTAAGCTAAAGTATACATTTAGTCCTTTAACTTTACGTAGGGTTTCAGTTTGGTCCCTTAACTTTAAAAAGTATACTTTTAGTCCTTTAACCCTGAAATTGTCAGTCTTAAATGATGATTTTTTGTAATAGTCATGGTTTTTTTAAAAATAAACTTAATATTATCAACATTCAAAAGCCCAATATCATCATTTTTTTGTTAATGGTTCTAGGGTTAAATGATTGAAAGTTTACTTTTTAAAATTAAAAAGATCAAAATAAAACCTTATATAAGGTTAAAGGATCAAAAGTATACTTTATCCTTAGTTTTATTATTAAATCATCACGGCCTCCATCGAAACACACGCCAATCAAAACGAGACTGTCCTGCTAAACATGGGAATATGCTTTCCTATTTATATATAAGACCGACCGAGCGCCAATATATGGAGTAAAAGTCAAAGTCATTTGAGAATAGTTATATTGGATGCATGGCATCGATTCGAGACGGACATTGAAAAGGTCGCATCGCCATCCTTCTTTCACTCAAAATGCTTTCCGTATTTGGCTCTCATGATATTTTGGGCATCCATTCATTGGCCACCCCCTGATTTACGTCATGTCTCTTCAATCTCATATAAAATGGCTTTTCCTCCAGACATTGTCTTAGACTTTGTCTGGGGGGTCTCTCTTGATTTAATTCATTCTTATTTCTGAAACTCAGACTTATTGGGTTACAGGGAAATCCCGCACTAGAAGGGGCAAAAAAACACGAGCAGGCAGGAAAGAAAAGGCTTGCCTTCAGCGAGGAAGGAAAACAATTAGAAAGAGGAAGATCAGATAAAGAGAAATAAAAATGTCTTTCACTGGAACTCTGGATAAATGCAAGGCTTGCGATAAGACTGTTCATGTGGTGGACATGATGACCCTTGAGGGTACCCCTTACCATAAGTCCTGCTTCAAGTGCAGCCACTGCAAGGGATTTCTCTCGGTATAATTTTAATGCCCAACGTAACACACCACATGCTGCTTCTTAGCTTGTTGTTAGAATAGTTAATCATTGAATTTTAATGCATTTGATGGATGCGCAGATGAGCAGCTACTCCTGGATGGACGGTGTCCTCTACTGCAAGCCCCATTTTGAGCAGCTCTTCAAGGAATCTGGCAATTTCAGCAAGAACTTCCAGTCGGGTAACTTGCATTATATTGTGTGCTTTTCTTTGTTCTTTGCTCCTTCAGTGGGAAACTTAGATATGCCTAACAAGCTGATATGCTGTGTGATGAACTCAAAATTTGGCAGCGAGGTCCACTGAGAAGAATGATCTGGTATGTTCACTATATATGCTTAATTGTCACGCGCGTTATCATATTGTGGCTAGAATATGGATTGAAATATGGATGTGCGTGTTTTGATGTGTATATACAGTCCAGGACTTCAAGCAAGCTGTCTTCCATGTTCAGCGGAACCCAAGACAAGTGCTCTGTGTGTGGAAAAACAGTGTATCCTCTGGAGAAGGTTTGATCATACGTACATGTTATGACGATTGAACATTGTGTTGATGATGAAGAATATGTAATATTGAGTAATGAGTGATGATGGCCGGTGCAGATGACGCTGGAAGGAGAGTGCTTCCACAAGTCGTGCTTCAGGTGTGCTCATGCAGGCTGCCCTCTCACCCATTCCTCGTACGCCGCCCTCGACGGCGTCCTCTACTGCAGGCACCACTTTGCTCAGCTCTTCATGGAGAAGGGAAATTACAACCATGTCCTCCAGGCCGCTGCTCACAAGCGCAGCGCCAGCTCCGGCACTCCTCCTCCCGAACCTGCTACTGAAGACGATGACGCCAGCCCTCATCATGACGACAAGAAGGACGACGACCCCAAAGATGATAAAGAAGAAGAAGAACAGGACCACTCTTAGATCATCTTCCTCCCCGTCCTTCTCCCAACCGATCCTAATGTATGCCTATTTTTTTTCGGTTCTTTTCTTTAAAGGCGGCCACCTAATGTTGTTCTTTTGTTTTGTTTTGTTTTTTTGTTTTTTTGCCTTTTTGTTTCTGTTTCCAATTTCACATTGGCTGTCTCACAGTTTTTTGGCCGCCGTGTTTCCACGGTAAATCCTGTATTCAAGCAAAAAATTGAGCAATAAATATGTTCTTTCATTCTTGTCATTCCACTCTTCTTTCTACGCTAGCTGTATTGGAAGCACAGAATCAAAAAAGGCTTGAGCACTCGATCGGCATGTTAAACTCACCTACTGGGAGTTGGGAATACCAAACTCCTTTTAACTTTAATTTGTTGTGCTTTTTGTTCCTTTTTTGAATGAAAATAGGATGTGTGTGTATAATTTTGTCTTTAGATATTCATAATGAGTATTGAGTAGAGACAAAAAAAGTTACTCCCTTTGGTTCTAAATATAAGACCCATTTTATAGTGTAAATTACACTACAAAATGGGTCCTAAATTTATATTACAAAATGGGTCTTATATTTAAGACCGGAGGAGTGTAAGGTAATTCATGAGAAATGTAATTAACAAGGAAAAAAGAGAGAAGAAAGTAAAAATGCAGCGCAACAATCTCTAAAAAGAATCCTCTAATTATTCTCAAGGGTTAAATATCCAGGTGATCTATAGAGCTGTTAATTAGTAGTATTTCTTGATCGTGGCATGAATCCAATTGAGTTTTCTAAGGTAACTTATCACCTATATTCACACTTCATGGCCAATTCTCATTCTCTCAACCTCTCTTTTTCCAATTGCTTCTCAAAACATGTTCTAGATACCCACCATGACTCGAGGGGCCATTCCATGACTTTGTTTTCCCAAGTATTAATACGATGGAGTATTATATAAGGCATGTGTTGGGTGTTATGTTGCTCTATTCCCTGCCACATCTCCACTTCATTCCAATTCTCCTGATTAAAATGAGAAAAAATATTTCTCCAAGTCCGAATTGTTTTAAGTCTCTATAATTTTTTCCTCATTTCTCATGCTTTTGATTTGCTCCATCTAAAGCATTACTTCTTTTATTTCAACAAATATATTTAGAAGACTCAACCCGTCTAAAAATTACTTTCTTTATTTCAAAGAATATATTCAGAAGAATCACGAGTCGACTTACGGATTAATTGTGTTGAGATGAACTTAATATTGTTAAACTCGTTAGATGACAAGGAGAAAAAAATGCTAATCTGAAAAATTATATAATTGCTTGATTATAAAAAAATCTCACTTCCCTAGGAAAACGCACAAGAGGGAGAAGGAAAGGGGAAAAATATTAAAGCAATGAACCTCAGCAAAATTAATATTGTTTGGACTAGCTCGTAGTCCAATTGAGCATTTCTCGAAATAAAAAAGACCAAAGTTTTGAATGAGATGAAAAATCACAAAAGAATAAAATATAAAGATCCACGGTGATATTTTCCTTGTAAAACATAAAACTAACCTACAGTTGATCCTCAATGTCGCCTTGGGTCAAATTAAATTAAATTTAGAATGCAGCAAGTGATGCAAACCAAAGTCGTTCTCTTATTGGAGCCAAACATTAACTAAGTTCTAAATTAACTAAAAGTCAAAATTGCTATTAAAAGGTTTTTTTTTTCCAAATTTAAAAACTACTTTGTAAAATAAATTGAAAACAATTCTAAATATTTTTTTTGGATTTTTTTAATATAAAAAATTGAAAAGATAATTTGAAATTGAAATTGAAAGAAAATTAATTAAAAAGTAGCAAATGAAAATTTTGGATTTTAAGGAGATATGACATAATGCTTCTTGGAAAATGGAAATTGGGTTATCCTTGCTCAAAATGATCTGGGAGTTATTTTGTTCACTAATTTAAAATCAAAATCTTAATCACTGATTAAGTCAAGCAATTTCAATTAATAGATGTCCTAAGACTCTAGCTACAACTACCAATTAAAATTACCTTTGAAAACCGATTAGTGTGCAATTAGGATTAGATTAATGCAATTCGGGTTTCTATGCAAAGAACACTCAACTTGAGATATTCAATAAGTACCATACAATTATAACATTCATCCAAACTATGAAAGAATAGCATAACCATATAGAACTCCAAGCTGGATATAAATATAAATCTCAAATTGCAAAATCCAATCTCAATCACAAAAATTCAATTCTAAACTAAGAATTACAACTAATAATCTCAGAAAATTTAATTAAATAATATCAATTCTAACTCAGAAAATCCATTACTCAATTAAATTAAAAGAATTGAAACAGAAAAACTCCCCTAATTAACTCTAAAACTCCCCTAATTAACTCTAAAGCTCAAACCCAATACTCCATCTCCAAGAAGCTCGATGAAATTAGCTGGACATGATTTCAAATTTTGCAACCACAGATTTGAAATGCACGGTAGCCATGGATGATCAGGAACGTGATACTGTCAGGCCGAATACAATGACAGAAGCAGAAACAGGGCTTGCCGGCGGCAATGGCTATGGAATCACGACTCTGATGGCACGGTGGATGAGAAGAATCAGTTGAAGGTCGCTGCCTCTGCCGAGCTCTGTTTCCAACTCCCAGTTCTCACCGCGTTGAAGACGATGGGGACAGGGGAAGGTGAGATGGGATGATAATGATTGTGGGTGATGGTGAGTGGAGGTAGCGTGTCGTGAATGGGGGGGTGGAATCCGTGAGATGATGATAAGCGTGGATGGGTGTGGCGTGTGCGTCGTGGAATAGGGAATGGAATGCGTCCTCTCCTCCTCGGTCACACACACACACACACACATATATATATATAAAGATGTATAATAACAAGCCTTGCCGCCACTGTTCCGCCCTTTTCTCCCTCCAGGAGGTGATAATGGTGCAACCCTAAATTCAAACCTTGCAATATCTCCCAAATTTTCTATAACAAAATCTAAGATAATGTGATATGATATATTTTTTTCAAGAAGATCAATCAGTTAAACTAAATCATAAAAATATGATATTTTTACCCCTTTTTAGCACTATTTTCATCCAATCACAATTAATCCAATTTAATCATAATAAATGCAATTAAACCCAATTTAATTGATAAAAATCCCAAATAAGATATGGAAAATCAATATAAAATCAGGATTTATCAATAGTATAACACATCACGCTAATACAAATTGAGATCTTGAACTTGTGTATAATACTCTTTTAGTCCTGAGGGAGTGTTTGGATAGAAACCAAACCATGGTTTCAGAAGTGCTTTTACAGATTACAAAGTAAATATGTAGAGGAGGTTACCTCGTTTTGCGAAAAAGTAATTCTAAAACCTAGGTTTTGGTTTTGCCAAACACCCCCTTAATCTTTAATATAAGACTTATTTTATAGTCAATTTACACTACTAAATATGTCTTATATTAAAAATTAGAGGGAGTACATCACATTGCAGTCTCCCTCTGCCGACATTGCACTTTGAGAATAATTTGTATGATTTGCTCCATTTCATTGAGGCAGGAAATACTCAAGGTAAACTAATGTTTCTATTACATACTGAGGGCTTCTTTTTTCCGGTATAAAGCAACATACTAGAAACAGCATCAGCTTTCTACTCGACAAAATGATTTATTGCAACAGCATGAACATTCCTGAGAAACTCCTGAAAATTAGGAAATGCTCTTTAAAAAAAAAAAAAAAGATAAAAAAGAAAACTTTGCAAAAAGCAATTTATTTTCTGCCAGACATGACACAGCAGGAGTTCACAGGAGGGGAAAACAAAGGGTAATAATGATTGTGAATCAAAGTTGCATCAATGATGTTCGGCTTTCGCTTATGAAATCATGGGAGAACTACATCGTACAAAATTGGGTAAATCTATTTCCCAACAATAATCTCTGAGAAAACCCAGCTTCATCAGCCACCAGTACCTCTCTAACTACTCCGACTGCTGCAACATGTGGAAACAAAAAGCTACTTCTGTTCCTGATCCATTTCCTGAATAGATACGTGCTGCAAGATAATGAGCAAAATTATCAGACAGTCATCCCGCGGTTGGTTCCCAAAACAATGAATATTTGATAGTCGATCATTTTTTCTTTTCTTTTCTTTTCTTTTGTTTTTTTTTTTTGGGGGAAAAATTATATCCAAGGACTCAGATCATAACAAACAACATTAGAAGCCCATTTAGCATCATGGAAGAGATTTTGAAGGAAGTGAAAACGGAAGTAGAAGTGGATATTGACTGGTGGCCTTTACATGTATGTATGGTGTGACAACAGAAATATTTTTATTTGAAATTTGTATTCATAATATGCAAAGACTAATATGCCCTTTCAATTTTTATTTTTAAAACAATCACAAGGAAACAATGGGTTCATCCTACCTGAGCAGGAATCTCTGAGGTCTTAGGTGACGCAGGCTTGGCAGATGATCCATTGAAAAGATAAGAACATTCTGTGTACGCAGATCCAATTCCCACTCCAGCTCCAAAAGCTACTGATGCCCAGCGAGTCACAGGACTCCCTAGCACAATAATTAGAGTAGCCAGATGAATTTAATATCAATAGCTTGCCTTGCCATGGTCAGATCAAACCAATTAAAATTCGTTATACTTGGAACATATGCTTGTAATCTGTAAAGACAGATGGTGCCTAGGAAATGATCATGGATTTTGTATTCAGATACTAGAGGCACCCTCAGCAGGAGGCCTCGACACCTCTGGCTAATTATGGCGAGGGGCCTTCATCCAAGTAACTACATGGCATTGCTTTTTTGAAGGAAGCAAGGCACCTCAGGCGTCCTGCTACTCTGGTCCCGTCGAAACATTAAAATGAGAAATAAAAATTGGGATTGGGATTAAGAAAACTTATTCAAAGAGGGTTTAGCATGAGAGATTGCTTGTTATATGGGATTAGACAAACTCATGTAAGTGGGATTGGGGAATACCATCTCCCCTAATAGTATTCTCCAATCCCAACTCCATGGGTTTGCCTAATCTCATATAACAAGCAACTATTTATACTAAAAACTTTTTTTAATGATTTTTCTCAATGGCATTCTTCATTTTCAATATTTCGTATCAAACAGGACCTCTAGGTTTACTTCACAGAGGGATGCAACCTTTAAAGCCCGCCCAACAACTCACAACCATCAAGTTTAATATTTCAAACGAATGATAACAAAACATAGGCAGTCATTTTGAAAGATTATCATTCAGGCTCTTCGTCATTTAGGATCCTGTCAACAAAGACAAGCTAAACAATAGCCTTGCACCACCAGAACGCTGCAAGGGTCCATGGACCATGAGAGACAGTACAACAGCCTTCCCTCACAGCACCACTGTTCACTTTCTCTTTTAAAAAAACGTACTCTTCTCCATTTCTTCGGCTCTGGAACCCTTCTTTCTATTTTCTTGAACTCTGTTAATTCACAACTCAGCCTACCCTTCTCTCCCTAACTATTCATCCTTATAAACTTCTCTTTATTGGTTATAATTATGCTCGAATAGTTAGTTTCAGTGCCAAATATATTAAAATAGGTCATACTCATTTATTTTCCATATATACAGAATATTTCCAGCTTTTCTTTTCCTTTTTACCCATATCTTAGCACCTTTTGTCCCACAGGCAAGGGCTTTTCTGGCACCTCTTGCCTTAAGATGCTAAGGGCCCGGATCTAAAGCCTCAAGCGTGCCTCTTACATCTGTTCTTTGATGTGAGACTACAAGAGAGAGAACATATTTTGAAACCCCTCACCCACCCCTTTTTTTTTTTTTTTTTTCCTTTTCTAAATAGAGGCTTGCATGTTCTAATAAACGTGCTCAATGACCTCACAGAAAGAAATGATCATAAAACGCTAACTCAGCAATGTGTAACAGTACTCCTTGGCTCAAACGCTAGTATTTATCTGGTGAACTGATTGTGAGGGGCTCCTTCTCCCTTTGACTCGATCTCAGAGTGATTAAACATCTAGTTGGGGTTTCTGACGCAACCATAGAAAGAAGGTGGCTTCCATCATCAAAGATGATACACAAAAATGTTCTATCAAATAACAAACGATTATGGCACTTCCGTCCAGAATCGGATCCTAAAAACGCTGACAAGTGTGAATTTTAACATTGAATCGTATTCTTGTATTTCATTTTAAGTGGAAATCCATATAGAGGAGGTGCAATCAGGCCAAGCTAAATTTAAACCTGATTCAGCCAAACCTGCCACGCCCCTCAATTTTTTATGGATAGAAACTAATCCAATCCTAATTTGTACATTCAACTCAGCAAGACGAAAAAGGAAGCACTTAAAAAGAAAGTAACTGTTAAAAACCGCCTGTGTTTTTTCTCACCTTCTACCAACATGATTCACAACTGAAATGAAGTAGGATATTTCAGAAAAAAGCAAAGCCAGTCTAAAATCCTACTTCAAATCCAGTTGGCAACCAAATGAGAACTCAGAAACTGAATCATCAGAAAAAAAAAAAATGAAGAGAAAAAGGGAACATAAAGTACAAATTTGTCATATTTCACAGCGCTAGAACGCCACAAACACGCCCGCGGAAGAGTCGGAGAACGAGAAATGCAAAACAGGCCTAACCTCACAGCCACTAGGAGATTGAGGATTTCCAATAGACAAGTATTCACAATAGCCTCACAGAAGGAAAATGAAGAAAAAAGAGAATGATGAAATCAGGAGGGATAAAGAGAAGGAACTAACTGAAAAAGAGGAGACCACCCAAAGCACCGACTAACGAAGAGTGGAGGGAGCGACGGATAGAAAGATCAAGGCAAGCATCCCATTTGGCATTCAGATCGTGTGGTGGATGAATGGCCTCAGTGTGATCAGCCATTTGAGTAGGAGCAACTATCTCTGCTGCTTTTTCCCCGCCTCTATCGATTTGTTCCTTTGTTTTGTTAGGTATCTGTGCTTCTTTCTACCCTCTTCTTTGAGGAATGAGCAGCGCAGAGCGAAGAAAGGTACTGTCGCTCGCATCTCGCCACGTGCGGTGCTCTCACGCTGTGAGAATTAAGAACCCATACTTTATATTATAAATTCGGTTTAAATTATTTAAAACTTGGAAATTATAACTATTTCCTAAAATCAGTTTTATTATCTTATTTTTGGGTTAAGTTTCTTAAGATATTTTAAAATTTGTAACATTACCTTTTTAAAGTATTACTTTTTTTTTGAAAAAATTGAAAGTTATACATTTATTAAACTTTACTTCTAGTCCTATACATATTTAGAGTTTATATTAAATATAAACATATGAATTTTAAATTTGGCAAATAATTTTTTTTGGAAAAAGAAGTGACCGTCAATAATATGAAAAAGGGCATAGATAAAAAAGTTGAGAAAAAAATATTTTATAATAATAATCGTTTTATATCCATGATTAATAAATCTTAGGGATTTAATTGGTATTCATCTTTTGGGGGGGGGGGGAGAAGAAGACTTGGTTAGTTATTTGTGAAGTTTCCATTTCAGCTGCTTGTGCATTTGGCTAGGACCATTTTTGGACTTTAAAGGTGAAAATTTTTAAAGATAATATTACGTCAATTTAGATTTTAGAGTAACCAATACTTTTAAAAATTACTTCAGACACAAAATTTTAAACCGTTTTTCAATTAAAATGTCAATCGGGAACAAAACCTGCACTTGGCCAATATCATTAAGACTGCGTGATCATGTGCATGCAATAAATCATGCTATGGGTCATGAAAAATGCTATCTTCTAATGAAGATAGAAGTGGATCACAGCTGTGGTTACTTTTTCTTTTTTAACTTTGAGTCGGAGCCTGGTCTTGAAACATGGAAAAAATCAGAGTGCAATAATAATGTCAATAATCATGGGAACAACAATTTAATTGAGATAACATAGTAAATACAGTTAAAACGAAAGATGAAATAACAAACGTGGGACATCAATAATGGATGTTACAGGCTGCTTCTACTTGAAGCATTTAATTTAATCGTTATCCTTCGAGCTTTTAATTTGTCCAAAGTGAAATCATCATTCATAATCTTGAAGACTATAGCGCAGCTCTCACCCAAAACCAAGGTTAGCTTCCGAGTCATTAGATCACACACCATGATGAACAAAACAGATATAATTAGGAGCAAAACTATACAACCACAAGGTTTACCCACTCTATGCATTAGGTGCAACAACTGTTCTTATAAAACTCACTTTAAGGTAGTCAAACTATTTTTTAAAGAAAGTTAACCATCATAGAAAAAGATAATTTTTAGAGCTATGAAAATCCTATAATGGTTAAAAGAAGGAAATGCACATTCACAAACATCTCATCTTTGAATAGGTTGCACCTAACTAACATGGTTTCATAATTAAGAATGCCCTTGATTGCACAGTTACCAAAACATGAAACTAGAACTGTTTGGGCCTTGGACTCTGGAGTCTAAAATTATGCAATCAACGACGAGCACAAATAACCAGATACTTTCTAGTGGGTAAATTACAACACATTCCCAAAAAAAAAAAATGCCGTGGGGCTCCATAAATCAAAAGTCAATATTTCCAGTAAAAGCATCAAAAGCAATAATCCTAGAGGCCTTCGGCCTTCTACCACCATACTCGTCATAAAACAGTTAATCAAAAGTATTTAATTACAAACCAGAGTGTATGAGCCCTAAGTGGTAATATACAAAATATCATCACAAAAACATAAAACAAAAGAGGCTATATAATAGGTATCACAATCGCCTCTAGACCTTTCCCTAAGGTACCAATATTGAAACTATCACCTAAAATACAATAAGAACCACAAGGTAAGACAAACGCCTCAATAACCGACATTTCAACTTATCATACATATTAGTATGTGCTCGTGAGATGTTAAGTGCGATAAATAGAAGAAAAGTCACAAAAGTATTAATTCAATAGTTTTCATAGCTCATTAGATTGTAAAATACCATGCAACCTCCCATCAGGCCATCCGAACCGCCTTATGCCCTCTTACATATCTATCCATGTTACTCGCCACTCAAAAGCTCATCGAACATGTGATGATGGCCGGTCAAAATCCCTCGAGCGCATGATCGAACCATGGGTCTTTTCCCTCATCATATAGATGGGGTGTCGTAGCCCCCTGTTGAACCAGTGGGACAATTGCTTGTTGAACTAGTAGGACAGAAAGTGAGCCAATTATTATATACCAATGAAGGTCTTACTGCGTGGTAGGATATCTAACCCATTGCCAATCTAAACCAATCATTTCAACATATACATCACTGGGGTTTTACAAAATAATCAAAGTCATTAAATTTATGCGATGCACATCAATAGGATTAAAATCCTAGATAATGCTTTCACAATTCAATAAACAATTCTCACAAGGCAAGTTCTATTAAATGACCATTTTTATAACATTATATCATTTTTCAAATCATATAAATATACACATTTTATAATTTCTCACAAACACACATTAACATACATAATAAGTGAAAAGTGGTTACTTCTCGCTAAAATAAGAAGAAGAATATACCACAATAACCCCGGGTTTGAGCCACAAATTCACAAGCAGTCTACACAAATTATGAATACCAATCAATACCAAAAACCACGAAAGTGGTTTAGTATAACAAGTAGTAAATGTCCCAAATCTCTAGGTACCCAAAACTTATCGAAACCATAAATCAACCCATTCAACACTATATTTAGTGTCACAATGACTCAATTAACTTATCTAAACCATTCCTTAATCTCAACTCACACAATTCAATCAAAAACCCCAATTTCACACTTAGTCTTCAACCTCAAAATACCCATTTGAGCAATTCAACCTCTATCAATAATCTAAATTGATTAAACATTAATTCTAACTCATATTAGCATAACCTAATCACGAAAACTTATTTCCAATCTCCACGTTAACATTAACCATCAAAATCCTCAAGAAATACCAAATCCTAAGGTCAAAAATCTCTAAAACTCCAAATACAAGAAATCTAAGCTGGTTAAACACTTAATCTAACCCATATAACTCATTTAAACTTAGATTAATGATCAAAACTTCAGCCATTTTGAAATCCTTAAGAAACCCCAAAATCCAACTACTTCAAAATCTAGAAATCTAATAGAAATTGATAGAAATCAAGTCTAAGAAGCTTACTTGAGTGTTAAGAGCTTGAAAACACTTTCAATGGGTTGAAAACACTTGCCCTAGTAGAGCCCAGTTGTTCTTCTTTCTCCCCCCTTTTGTTTTTCACATCTGAAATTTGATTTAAGAAGATAGATTTCAATGCATTTGCTACAGCAAACATTTAGCGAACGTACTTTGCATTGTTTGCTATAGCAAACATTTAGCAAAAGACACAATGAGCACTCTGTGTTGTTGGTTATGGCAAACATCTAGCAAATGTCTAAATAGAAACATAAAGCAAGAGGGTCCAATTTAAAAAATTCATAACTAACTCCATAGATATCTAAAAACTACAAAATAAGCCTCTTTAAAAAGTTTGGGATGTTTATTTTCCAATGCAGGAGTGATTGCTCAAAAGTTCATTTGACCTTTGAAAATACCCAAATTACAAGGCCACAAATTATAATATCTAGAGATAAGACCTCCAACTATAAATCTTAGTATTTCTAAGCCTTCTACTTTCAATTACTTAATATCTAGCTTCTTTTTCTTAGCAAAAGCTTAACTCTAAATCTCAGATTAAAACTTAGGATGTTATAGTTGGTGGAACAAACTCACCAAGTCAATATGCTTAGTACAGTACGTAGACATGGAGAACTATGCCTTGCCATTTTATAATTCAGAATGATCAAAGGCATAACCATAAGGTCCACACACAGGCAAGGGGTCCATTGCTGCCTTACAGGACACAATCATAAACATAATCCGTCCTCAAGCAACCCCACTTCAATATATATTCATTTCTGTTAATCATACATATACAGCTCCGTTCAAAAAAAAAAAAATCATACATATACAGCTATTCACAAGCATCTCCATGATCACCAAAGCAATATATATATATATATATATATATATCTCCATTTATCAATCTCTCAAGTCTCAAGTCACAACCATTTCAATATTAGCCGCAGTATATATATTCACTGATCTTGTCACCCCTTCAGAATTATATGCTACCAGCTAGACAGGTGTATATATACACGTATGCTTTGAGAGAAGAATAAATTTCACAGTTTATTATATATATGCATATATATGATAAAGTAATGTTAAAATAACTTTGATGACCTCAACCTTTTATAGCAAGTCACCGCCTTGAAAAGTCGCTTTAGTCTGATATGTGTTCAAGTAACAAAATTTATCTAATTTCCTCAAGTCGCAAACATAAGGTTGGAAGTGGCAGTTAGCCACAAATTAATAACCTCCTATATATCCCCATTCCTTCCTACACATATACCCCTCACATTTCATTATGTCAAAACCAAGTTTGTGATCCGGCGCTAGCAGCTGGGCCGCAATTTCCTTCTATATCTGAAATTTAAATAATAGATTTCCTGTTCGCCATGATTGTAAATTCGAGTCGTCATGACATAGCCTGCTGGACAATTTTTTAAGAGCAAGCATCGCAGCTAGAATTTCCTAATTAGTTCCAAACACCCACAAATTCTCAGAATGAATAATTCAAGCCATGCATTGATTAACCATGCACTAAAACTGTGAGGGATGTTACAATGGCTTTTTACTTTTGGTTTCACGCACTTTTTTGTAAGGGGAAAAAGGATTTACAATGAATGTACAGCAGAAGAGGGTGGTTGTCATTTCTGTCATGATGAGCTTCGTCTTCTGCAGTAGGCGGGCGTTTAAACCATCCTTGAGCAAGCACACATGTATACATATATAATGGCATTCTTATTGTGAGGCTTTTTTGAACGTTCCTTTATAGCCACAGGGACCTTCCTTCCCCTTGATAATCTCATATGGCCCTCACTAGTTATGTCAAGTTTCATGCCATAATCTTTCTTTTCTAAAACTCTCTGTCCAGTTCATTAGGGTATCCGTATCAGAGGTTTCACATTTAGGGTATGTTTGGCTCAATGAGAGGAAGGGGAGGGGAGAGATTTTAATGGAGGGAAGGGGAGGGGAGGGGAGTGGAAGGATTTTAATATCACCTTGTTTGGATTTATAAAAAAAGAGGGGAGGGGAGGGAAAAATATTTAATATGGACAATTTTGCTCTTATTTTATTTAAGGCGTGGGCATAATAGTCACAACATGACAAAATATAAACATAATGGTCACAACATGACAAAATATGAACATAATAGTCATAATATGACAAAATATTGCCTTTTCCCTCCAAATCCTCCCAATTTTGGAGGGGAGGTTGAGGAGGGGAGGGGAGGGGAAATTTTAAAAAATTTTCCCTCCCCTCCTAAAATTTGTGTGTTACCAAACAAGGGAAAATGATTAAAATCCCTCCCCTCCCCTCCCCTCCCTTCCAAATCCCTCATACCAAACACACCCGGACAAATGGATTGACAAAATTAAAGCATAGAGATCTGTACATGCACGGTGCACTACTAACATCTATGAATTGGCCAAAACCATCCAAAAGCATCACGAACCTAATTTACGGAAGATATAAAGAACCATAATAGTATATCAGTATTGGAAAAACAATCAACATCAATCATGATCAACCAATGTCAACCACTGGTTAAATATAAAATATCAAATCAATTAATATATTTATATAATTATTAACATATACAAAAAGTAATATGTCTGTTTTATTAATATATATATATTATGCAAATGATCGATGTGAGAGGCAGCTAGAGCACGCAGATACCAATTAAGTTTATAATTATGGATGGATGATCATGGATCCTATTTGCAAAGCTTTCTTAATTAGGATTCATTCAA